GTGGAAGCCACCAGGTCCCCCAGAGCCTCTGCTGAGTGGGAATCATACCTGGCCTGTGCCCTGTGCCCCCTGCTGCTCTCCACTCTCCTCTTAAGGTCCCTCCTTGGACCTGGGTGGCTGCCTCGCCCTGCTGCAGGCCCTGGGCTGTCTCCTTTCAGTGACAGAGCCTCCTTCCAATGCCTGTGGCGGCAAATCTCCCCCAGGGGGCCGCGCGAGAGCCTCCCCTAGGGTGGCCCCGTCAGAAGCTGGTCAGAGGCGCTGGGCCAGTGGTACAGGCAGCCTGGTCCTGGGTGCCCTGGTCCCCAGACAGGCCTGCCAAGAGCATCGATGAGGTGACTACTCACTCCACCCTCTAACCTTGCATGATGTGTCACTGACTTGAGCTCTGAGAGGGCAGTGACCAGGTTGCCCTGGTTCCCTGCTGTGCCCTTGGCACCCAGCTGGTGCCTGACCTCAGGAGGTGCCAGGATGACATCTGTGGAATGAATGGGTGACAGGATTGTAAGGAACATGGCATCTATGGGTGTATTTCCCGGCCAGGTTCTTTGCCCATGCATCCTGTTGTAGTTCAGACTGACCCAACCCAATGGTTTTAAAGCACCCCTCCAACCAAGATGGCAGAGGACACGTGAAGGGACTTGAGCCTCAGCTTCCCTGCTTATAAAATGGGAACCCTAGTAGGACATTCTCTGCATTGTTGCTGTGAGGGGGAGAGGCGTCACACACACAAAGTGAGTGCTCAGAGGAAAGCAGGGCTTGGGGACAGACACTCATCAGCCCTGGGTGGTTTATTGCCTTTTCTCAATGACTCGGGTCATTCAACGTGCATTTCAGAGATGCAGAAAAATGTTATTCGGCGTCCTTGGCTCTGAAAATGGCTCTCGTGCAGTTCTGGGCGGCCCCGCCCTGGCGGCGGGGAGAAAGGCTTTTTGTTCTGTGTTCTCCTGACAGTGCGTTCCGAGGGTCACGAGGCCACCATGGTCAGCAGGGGCTGGGCCCCCACAGCAGCTGTCATTGTGTGTTGGGGCCACCGCCCAGGGCCAGAGCTTCCGGTCAACTGCAGGGGGAGAGCGTGGTGCCCCGAGTGCACTTCTGAGGCTGAAGCCCGGCATGAGCAGACAGGGGCAGCGAGATGGGCCCCAGAAGAGAGGGGAGGCGAGGCGGGGGCTGGGAACACGACCCCAGAATCCGCTTCCATCCCATGCCCAGCGGAGCCACCAGCGGGAAAAGCCCCTCTGTGTACACCTCTGTGCACACGTCAATGTGCACACGGAAGTCGGTGGGGAAGCATCTGGAAGTGGGCCACCTGTGACTCACAGGGCAGTGGCGTAGCGCTCTGGGTTTGAATCTTGGCTCTGGTGTGGCCAAGTGACGTAAGCACTCCAGGCTCAGGCCCTTCCCTTTGCACAGCCCAGAGGCGCTGCGCAAACAGGAAGGGCTCCAGGTGCGGTTGGGCTAACGCCTGATTCAGCAGCGTCTACCGAAGGCTCCCGGGTTATGTTTGTCTTTGGTGCTGTCCAAGGACACCAGGCCCAGAGCCTCTAAGTGACTTGCACAGGGTCACACAGTGAGCGCCAGAAACTCAGACACAATTACAGAGCCAAGGCTGGTTCCACTACACCCTCACCTTTCTTTCTAGAAGGTTTCCATCTGTTAGTGTGAACTCAAGGAAAACGGGAAAACTCTGACACCTTCAGATGATTTTAATTCCCAAGCACACGGTGACCTTTCTATTAATAACAGTGTAAATTCAAGCTTGTGCCTGCTCTGGATAGAGCACGACACATTTCTACCAGGTTACCCAGCCTTACCTTTCCTGCAGAATGCAGCCCTGCCCCAAAATGACCCGTCTTGTTTGACCAGTTTTGCAGTTACCCCAAACTTGCTTTTTTAAAAAATTATTGTCAGCAAACAGGCTCTTTAAAATGCCACCCAGAACCTGTCTGCCTGGAGGAAAGGAGGGCCCCTGGAGGGTTTTCTAGTTGATCATCTTACCTCCAGATATGACCCCACCATGTTACTTCATAGACCCACTCAAATGGGCACAGCTTCTAAATACAGAAATGCCTTGGTGATCTCGAACACCTGGCAAATGGCCCCTTCTGGTCAGTGGAGATTTTTTCTAAGCATGCTACTCAATCCAGAAGATATAAGGAAAAGACCAATAAATCTGGTTATAAAAAACAGAAACTTCCTAGATGGTGCAGGGGGGAAATCCTACCACCAATCAAAGCCAAACAACAAATGGCGGGGGAGGGTGGGGCGGGAGTAGAGTCTATGCAATAAATACAGCAGATAAAAGGCTATTATTCAGCTGCAGGCAGTGGCTCACACCTGTAGAGCACTCTGGGAGGCCAAGGCAGGAGGATTGCTTGAGGTCAAGAGTTCAAGACCAGCCTTGGCAAGAGTGAGACCCCCCGTCTTGCCAGGCTTGGGTGGCACGTGTCTGCAGTCCCAGCTACTCGGGAGGCTGAGACAGGAGGATCACTTGAGCCCAGGAGTTTGAGGTTGCAGTGAGCTATGATGACACCATTGTACTCTAGCCTGGGTGACAGAGCGAGACCCTGTCTCAGAAAAAAAAAAAAGGCTATTATCCCTAATATGTAAAGAGCTCTTACAAATCAATAAGAAAAAAAACAACAGTCCTATAGGACAATGGGCAATTCACAGAAGAAATGAAAAGATGCTTAATCTCAATAATAAAAAGAAAAGAAAATCAAAACAGTAAAATGTCTTTCATCTACCACATAATTTTATGAACACACCAATCTTGCCTAGTTCAACCATTCTGGAGGGAACTCAACAAAATGTAACACAAATGTTCCTGTTTTCCTACAGAAAGCCAATTGTAACTTCCTAAGCAGGGCCAGCATCGAAACTATGAATTATGATAAAGGTGTGACCCAGTAATGTCACAGGCCCCGTTGAACCTTTATTAAGTGGCTCTAGACAGTGTCTTCAGGTTTTTAGGACAACTTTGGATATTTTTTAAAATTTGCTCTTGATGGTT